TAGCTCGCTTGTAGGCATCTTCGGTTTGAAGACCCAATAACCCGTTTATCATCTTCTGCGCGGATCCTGAAGTGTATTCTCCGAGGTAATACAGTTTGTGGCCTGGCTTCACAGCTTCTTCTTCAATTAAGGCATCAAATGCAGAGACCCATTTAGGGAACTCAATGATGTTCCCACTAAATACTGGTGGTTTAGGGGCAGGAAGTGACATTCTCTTCATCAGTTCTATTTGCTGTCTTTGAATCTCTACACCGTCTCTTTGAATCTGTTCCATAATATTAGTGGCTTCTTCTTCAATTAAGGCATCAAATGCAGAGACCCATTTAGGGAACTCAATGATGTTCCCACTAAATACTGGTGGTTTAGGGGCAGGAAGTGACATTCTCTTCATCAGTTCTATTTGCTGTCTTTGAATCTCTACACCGTCTCTTTGAATCTGTTCCATAATATTAGTGGAATGAGGGGCAGGTCGGGTTAGCTGAGATGCGGACATAGATGTGGGTTGAAATGCAGGGATTTTTGGGTCTAACTGTGTGGCAACACTACCAACGTTTGTATTTTCATTAGTATTAACTTGACTTGTTTGACCAATCCTTGGATCTTGATAATTAGTACTCGGCTGTATAGTATTTGGATTGATTGGTAACAATTCTTGATTGGTTTGCTGGTTGAGATTGGTTGAGGGTGTGTAGGGTAGTGGTGTACTTGAGTAATTTTTGCCAAGTGGAGGTGTACTTGGGTGATTGTGGATATGTGTGGATATACTTGGGTGATCATGGATAGGTGGGGATATACTTGGGTGATCGTGGTTGGGTGGGGGTATACTTGGGTGATCGTGGATAGGTGGGGATATACTTGATAATTATGTGGTTAGGTGGGGGTATACTTGGGTGATCGTGGTAGGTGGGGTATACTTGGGTGATCGTGGATAGGTGGGGATATACTTTGGTGATTGTGGATAGGTGGGGGTATACTTGGGTGATCGTGGATAGGTGGGGATATACTTGGGTGATCGTGGATAGGTGGGAGTATACTTGGGTGATCGTGGATAGGTGGGGATATACTTGGGTGATCGTGGATAGGTGGGGGTATACTTGGATAATTGTTGCTAGGTAACTTTGTGTCTTCTACAAGTGTATCATGTATTGCTACAACAGCATTAATCTCACCTTGTAGCCTTTCTTGCTCTCCTTGTCGTTCCAACTCTCTTTGAAGAAGTTGTAATTCTTCTTTCTTTCTCTCCAATTCTTGCTGCCTTATCAGGCTAGTCATCCTTTGCTTAAGTCCTGCGGCATTTGCTGCAGCTTGTCTCGATGATATTGAAGAGACTTTGGATAATTTAGAGATAGAGCTCTTTGTACTAGATTTGTGAGATCTCTGTGTCAGCATTTCAAATCTTTCTTGTGTTAAATCATTAATTTTTGTCTTAACATCTGCACAACAGTCCAAGTAATTATCACAAATACGATCAAAATATTCATGGTCTTCGTTAGGAAATTCATTATCCGAATTAAGCATTAATAAATCAGATATTTCGTTATGAAAGCGTTTTAGATTATCCATATCCATGTTCGAGCCATCCTTGCTGGCTGTTAATTTCACTATGTCAGTACATTGTTCTAGCAATAATTGGTCTATACGGCTAATTCTGGCTTTCACAGCCTCACCTGCACGATTTCGCTTCTTTCTGAGGTTCTCCAGGCTCGCCGAGACAGCCTTTCTTGTTCGAGGTCGAGCTTGTTGTCCTTGTGACTCCAAACTACCTACACTCCATTGGTCCTCTTGTTTGTCTGCGACACAGACATCTTGTTCGGGTATCAGACTTGTTCCTAACCCGTCTTTTAATTCCAATGGAGCTTCGTCCTCTACCAGTTGTGTTTCTGGTTCATTGCTTTGTGTCTTTGAAGCCATTTTCTTATATTTCAGTCGAAATTTCGCTTGGGTTCTTTCTCAGTTTTCAAAATAACACATATTTTGAAAGTCCCTTCGTTGTTTACTATAATGTTCTTGTCGTTTCACGCAAATAACATGCCAACAAAAACGTTGTTTTAACTCGTAACTTTAATAGAAAGTAAAAGAAAAGGTAAACAACGGTTCCGGGCAAACCGTAGATTTCTTACATCCCTTATATCATGCTATGAATCACATTTTAAAGTCTTCGTAAATATAAAATGTCTTCTTGTTCTAAGTAAATATTTCTAGACCTCGAGGACAGTCACGTGATCTAAAGTTTGCGACTCACACGCGCGCACGCCACGCGATAGCAGTTACACATTGTATCACACTTTTATATATTTCCTACCCAATGGAGTGTTGCAAATTTCGTTATTTATCCAAGGTGGTTTTGAAATCGTAAGATATTGTCGCATGTATCGCAGATATTATAATTTTTTACGGAGGCGGTATTTTTATCTGCAAAATTGGGCTGTTTTGAACGAAACGTTTTTGGAGTCAGCAAAATGTTGTAAATAAGGCTGTTTTTGTCGAAAAACTATTATTTTGGAAAATGCAAAGATAGTTTGGAACGCGTTCCAAACAACAATAGTGAAGAATACAAATTTACTACAGTGGACAGATCGAGAAAATGAAGGAAATCAGGTTCATATGAAATATATGAAGGCTATTTCCTTTCTTCCTTTTTTGTAAATTAAGCAAAACAGAACCCGAGAATTAATCGTGAATCATTCACTTACCGCCAAAAAATATAAAAATACCTAACGGCGCGTGTCAGGGGACAGACACTAGGTCCCAAAGAATGGCTTCAAAGTCCGCCATTTTTGGCTTCATTTTTGATTATGCCATTGATTGAAGTCAGCCTTCCATCGATATACAGTTCAGTTAATTGAAATTACCTCTATATTGTAATCGCTAATTCAAAGGTTATCGCTAGTCGTCTTCACGAATAAATATAACGCCAATGCAAAATATGAGTTGGGTGGGAGCCTGGTTTCAACGAATTATGATGTAATTATATAGATAGGTTGTGTACGTTGTAGACAGATCAATAAAAAATAAAAATGAAGGGATTGCTGACTGGCTGTAAAGAATTTCGAATCTAAACGAATGTTCCAGTTTAATTAATAGTATGTCGAATCATAATCTATTTCAATTTAAAAAAAAACAACATTATGTACTGTTTTTAACGAGCGGGGGTGTTTTATTAGGTTTAAATTAAAGCCACGAGCGCGCAGCTCGAGTGGCTTTAGGCCTAATAAATCACGACCTGCGAGATTATTAAAGTAACGGCTTGAGGAGACGACTACAATAGATACTGCCTTATTAGTATTCTTTATATAAAGAATACTAATTAGGAGTGTTTTATCAGGTTTAAAGTCACTACACGCGACATATTATGGTTGTCATGATTTGCCAATTAACTTATGGATTGTTAATGAGTGTTCGAAATGCTGACATCGTTATATTGTGTTTTTTGTACTTAATATTCGTCAGACAAGTCGTTGACTCTATTGGTATTTGCTGGATTTGTTGCAACCTCGTACTAAACCTGCGATCAGGCGTTTTTAGGGGTAATTAACGCATGACACAAACGTTTATTCAGTGGTTTACCGCCCATCACCACACTTTATTTGAATTTAGTCAATCAAAATGCGCTGGAAGTAAAAATAATCGCGTACATTTCGAAGGAAAAGCCATGGAATTTGGGAAATCAAAGTTAGCAAAACTAGTAACTTTGTTTGACCAAAATATCGAAATTCGAAATTTCAGTTTACATTTTTCCTAATAAATATAATTAGTTATAACCATTCAGATCCGGGGTTTTATTACTGTAACTGCCAATCCTTAAAATTAAAAAACAATTTTAATTGGCACATCAAATATGTTGTAGAATAATATACACGTATGAAAACGACGTCAATTTCAATTCAAATATTTGGGATGAGCAGATTTTAATATTTCAATACAAGTGAAACAAACAGTAATGAATATCATCAAATAGACTACTATCTTATGATGTTCTAATTTAATTAACAGTTAAAGAAAAACCGAGCAGCGAAAATCCTGATGAGGTATGTTCGGGAATGGAGAAAGAAGACAAGTTTAACGCCATTGGTTTCTCGCCAGCTGATCAGTTTACGAAGCCAAAAAAACATTCTCACTAATTTAAATTTACATGAAAAGGGTAGTTGACTGACTGATGTATGTAATTTATTTAAGCAATTAAACTTATGGTATATGTAAACCTTTTCTTTATTTAACATTCTCCTATTCTTTCGGCATTCAGTATTCAGTTCAATTGCATTCAGAGGAGGAGTGAGGACTATACCGGCATGCAACGCGGTTAGGCGCGGTTTTTTACATATTATCGATTTCTCGCTCTGCGCCGTCATTGTTCGGTCGGCTCTCGCTGTGTTTACACCTCGAGGATTCGGAAAAGATTTATAGAAAAAAAAGAGTAAAATGGTGAATTCTTGCACTATTCGTGGAAACAAAGCTTCGTTTTTGGGTGGACACGAGCTTCTGTTTGTTCACTGTGTGTCAAAACAGCCTTTAATCTTGATTCCAGAAGGATTACCGTGTGATGAACTTGAAATGTCGTGCACGTGAGGTTCATGTTTATATAGTTTTACGGAATACAGATAGTTTGAAGAATAGTCCTTTGTCCAGCTGTGGTTAACGGGATACAAATTGATGAAATTGTTCCCTGATTGCGGTAATCCTGCACTGGTACAAATTCACTCTAGTTGTGTTTTTAAGGTAAGATGATTTATATAAAATAGAAATATAAAAATGCTCTCGTACTGTATAAATTATATAAAATACAGTCATCTATGATGTGATTGATATATTTCGCTTAAAATTGTTGTAATACAGCAGTATTAAACGTATTTTTATTTCATATCATGTAGTTATTCGACCCTATTAAATGATCCACAGGAAGGAGGTTGATATTTCAACATCACCAACATCCCACCATGTGAGCCAGATAGTCAAGATGATGAGCTGGACAGTGTACTTCCACCAATAGAATTACACCAGCCAACTGATTGTAATTGTTTTATTTAACCAATAAATCCTGTTTGCCCTGACGGACATTCATACACACCAAATGATGGAAGATGTGCCCAGTGGTAGCAGTGTTGATGGTGAAACTGAAGGAGGGGCAGTGAATGTAGAGAATGAAATGGAGGAAATTCAGCGCTATCACAACACTATATATATATATATATATATATATATATATATATATATATGTATTCACTACTGTGTGATGCATTGCAAGGATTTATACTGATCAACCAGGTCTATGCTCAAATGATCAACCAGTTGTCTATTATTTTACTCTGCCTAACACCAGATTATTTTACTAACACTAGACTTATTACTCATCAGGGGGAGAGTGCTACCACTCAATGGGTTAAAAAAAACATTCAAACAAAATGTTTGGCAGAAGATGCAAAATTGTTTATTGGTGTCTGGTGTGATACTGATATTTCTTTTATCTGTAAGGATAGACCTGGGGAGCTTCTAGTGGTACAGTCTTGTTTTCCTGTACTGCATGTGTTTTCCTCACTTCCCTGATTCTATCATAAGTATTGTATCCCATGGACACCATCTTATCAGTTCTGCAGTTTTTTGACAATCTACCGTAAACCTCCGACTATAAGCCCTGGGCTTATATTCTTTCGTAAACAATTTTTGATGGGCTTACACAAGGGGGCTTATACATGGACAATCTTTTGTGTTAGTAATAAACAAGTCAGTCATAAACAGGAAAATAAACATGTATTAATAACACACTTTGATTAACATTGTAAGCTATAAAGACAATGAGGGGGGCTTATAATCAGGGTGGGGCTTATATTTGGAATGAGGTGAGCGTTAGTACATGTGGTGGGCTTATACATGGGGGGGGGGGCTTATACACAGGGGCTTATATTCGGAGGTTCACAGTATGTATGGTTTTCAGTGTAGTGTTCCCTTGCTCATCACAAATTAATAAAAAGATCACACACTACATAATTGATGTTGATAAAATTGATTTATTTTAAATAAAAAAAATATTAACATAATATTACTGTACTTAAAGATAATTAAAATGTTTTTAAAAATAAAATTTTATGTGCAAAAGTAAAGAGAAGTTTTTAAAATGTTGCATCACATTGATTTCACCAGTACACATGAATGGTATATGATGAAGTATATGAAAGGTGATGCTTTTGCTCTAGAGATATTACATAATTGGTAAGCCTCTTCAATCATAATCATTTGCATGATTGTCTGCAACAGATATGAATTCAATGAATGCTTTATCTTCTTCAAAATATGTCCATTTATGAAGTTTTACTGGGAATTTCTTTGGAGGAGTCGGTTTAATCTGTCTGATAGGAAACTACAAAACAAACAGCAAAAGTGAGAGGGGCAATGTCAGTGCCAGGCTGCCTACCAGCACAATTAGACAACAAAGAAACTCATGGATTTTTACCAGGATTGTGGGCATGCTTCTCCAGGAAATTTGTGCACTATAGGTTTTTTGGAATGCCACTCCCAGCATTGAAAAATAATATTGGCGTACGGGTGGATAGAAATTGCCCGACACTGTCATGAGTTTATTGATATATGAACAAGAGGTATAAAATAGAAGGAACACATCTCCTATACAGACTTGCAGAAATACTAAACACTGACTTGAGGGGTTGCAATGCCCAGCCTCATATGCCTATGGACAGAAATTCTCCCAGGCAAAAAAGCATTAAAATACAATGTTACTGTTATTATGATAATAACTTTTAGCATAATATTTAACATATTGTATTATTAAAAATATACAATTATGTTTTCGTGTAGTCGTACTGTATTTTATGAATTATATTTGTAAAAACCTTTGTACTTTTACACCTTGGCATTGGTGATGTTCCAGGACACTTAAACAAAGTTCGGCTTGATATTGAATTCTTCAAACGAGAAATTCTGTGTCTCTTATTATTAGGTTTCCCTGGGGTATCACCTTCACTGAATGAATTAAGTATATACCCGTTTTATAGCAATATCATAACTAACCTTCAGTGACCTTCAGTGAGTATCATAACTGTCATTTCCAGTTTACTCTAAAATAGCCGAATTCTATAATAAAATGAAAAAAATACAGTCAGTGCAGGTACAGTAAACATATAAAGCATATCTAACCTTAGAAATTACATTAAGCTTAAAATATGTAGGAACATATATATGCATATGTTTCAAAGTACAATAGTTTCCTTCGCGCCATGATGATTATCACGCGGTCTATTCCCGCCATCGGCGATAGAATATAGCGAAAGTACCCCATTTTCAAACCGCGATTACTTGTCGGTTTAGTGGAGCAAACTCATGTTTTAAAGTAACAGTAGAAAGAAAAAATTTTCCCGAATTCGATGACGTGTTTTGTTTTTATTTTCCTCAAAAAAAAGTGAGTTTGCTTCTGCAATATATCAAGGTCATTTTATTGGCGTGTCCACTGACCCGAATCAAGCATAATTACAATACGTAATTAGCATAAGTAAAAAGCAATTCCTGTACCAAACAAGTCAAAAATAGTTTAATTAGGGTCTTAAATAATACAACTATAAAAACATACCTTCGAAAAAACGAGATAAACGGAGCCAAAATCGCAATGTATTTCAACAACTTTTCGCCAAACGTTCGTTGAAAATCGTAATTGTGAATAATAATGAGACGCAATGCATTGTGGGAAGACCCTCATTCCTCCTCTGAATTGCATTCAAGACATTCAATTACTTACTAATAACAAAATCGCATTCTAAATTGTCATTTGTTGATGGTTATGATTTATTAGGGGAAGGATGCACGAATAACGCCATTATACAGTAGACCATAATAAATTTTACCCATATGTAGCTCGCTCCATTTCGCTACTTCTGTCATTTTATAAAGAAAATGAGAAAACGTTTCCCCCTCTAGCCATAATTATATATTTATAGACATGGGCGTACGGACCTATTCTTGTTTGGAGGGGGCACAGTATAGTTTGCCCGAACAGGCAAACTAAACTTTAATATTTCTCCCCCAAATTGTTGGCCAGCGGGGTGGGTGGTCACCAAAATTTTTTTCCGCACATACCAAAAAAATTTTTCGTACATAACAAAAACTTTTCTACCAATATACGCAAATTTTACCTAACATCACGTAATTTTTGCAAACGTCATACACAACGTACCATTCAGTAAATGTCATATGTATACCATTCAGTAAATGCCATGTCAATACCTGATAAACGTTAGTGCCAATTTACATTATATAATAACTACAGTGAAACACGCAATTTGATTGGTCAACAGCCGTGCAGGATCAGACAATCCTGCATGGTCTGACGAATTTCAACGCTAGACGTTGCTACTTGCTTGAACAGGAATGTATCGATCAGAAATTTATCCATACAAATAAACCAACGTCTCAATAATTGGAAACTTACTTCAAAGTCGAAAGGTATCGTACAATGAAACTTTACAATGCGAGTATATTTTTAAAATTATGTGCAAGAATTTCTGTTCAGAATTTCCCGTGGCAAGTACAACATCTCTCGCTAGTCCCTTCAAAATTCAAACGCTTCGCAATCTTCAAGTATTCAGGTCGAGAATCTTTTCATAACTACGTTGGCTCTCTGTTTAGCGGGTTTTCCATTTCAAATTTGGTAAATTTTATCGAAAAAATCTCTATATTTTCGCAGTATATTTTCGCGAATTTACGATCAAATTCTGTTCGCATTTGTTGTTGTTTTCAATAGCGTGGAGTAGCGATTCTACGATTGGTTAATTGACTATTGTTGTGAGAACTGCACATTTCATCAGTAATTTTAATCAAGTTAACCGTCGTTTCACTGTAGTAATTTTATAAAACAATTACCAAATGGTTTTCCCGTCCAGGATAGCATGATCCATGCACTTGGGATGTTGCTCGACTTTCGGAAAGCGTTTCACGCTTTCCGAAAGTCTCGCAACATCCCGCGTGCATGGATCACGCAATCCTGCACGGAAAACCATTCGGTATTCCTTTAATACTTATAACACAACTTTACATAAAACTGTCGATTACTGTGTAAATGAAGCACCAGGCAACTGGGCTGTAATTGGCTCAATGCTGTTTTTAGGCTCGAGTTGTCGAAGTTGTTAAAATTTAAATTAAATTTAAAAATTAGAATACTTGTGAGTATATGCGTGGCAGTTTTTAACTGAACCGTAATAATAAGCGTAAGGCAAAGCTTATATTGCTTCAGAATATCAGTTCATCGATCGATGTTTGCTGACGATACAGTACTCCTGGCTTACTGATACGTGAACATAATTTTACGCGCAATTGCATTTCCCGCTAAAATTAATTTTTGACGTTGGCACTTGTTTGCCTTTAAGATGTACATGAGTTTCTCCTGGATGCACAAGCTACATTGCTTTCCATCGCTTGAATAGGGTGTGGCATATAATAGATTTGACCAGGTTAGGGTGGGAAGTCGTCCGTTTCGCTTTAGCAGCGCTTCTAGCCAAATATAGAAACTGAAGTACCGTCTCGTTGCTGTAGACAGCGTTTTTTAAATGATTTTTTTGTGGTTTCTAAATGAATTTGCAATAGTCATGCTGATGTCATGCTTTAACTTATTTTCCCAATCATCACTCTCTACAACTTCAACTTGATAAACAAGACTTTTTTCATGCAATATTCTACGAGGGGACTCTCGTACGCCTTTCTGCAATTCTATTTCGTTTCAATCATATGGATTAAAGTGTTTGCACTTTTGTTATCTTAGAGAGGGTACGGTGATGTTGAGAATGTCGGGAGAATGCTCGAGAAACCTGTAAAACACTCGGCTACGCCTCGTAGTTTACACACCTATTTCATGTTCTCCAACCATCCCCTTCGTACATTATCGCAGCATGAACTCGACAGGCGTGTAGAACACTAGGCTACGCCTCGTATTTTACGCGTTTTTCGTGTATTCTCCCGACATTTCCATCGTGCATTATTGCACCATAAACGCGCCGAAGTCATTTTCGATCAATGCACTGGTAAGCCAGCCAAATTGCTTGGCTAGCTAGTCTGACTTCTATATATGAACAAGACTGACCACCCCAAAAGCCGATCAATACATAACAGCCATGTTGATTTCTACCGCTGGCTAACCCATTCAGTTGCAATTCGCCGTAATGCAACCAGATTTGAAATTGTCTTGACTTTCCACACAGTGGCGTAACGCTCATTGGGTAGGGTTAGTTAAAAACTAAGGGGCCCCGACAGTTAGGGCCCGCCATCCGGCAACGGCAATCTCAAAAATAAAACAAGAGATATTATTATTATTTTTCATGGAGGCAGTTATTTGTTATTGCCATAGTATAGACGTGGAATTTTCCCGAACGTACATTCTATAAATATTCAATTTAAATATAATATCTCAGTCAAAGAATAACAACAGTCCACAGGGCCCCCATACCTTATCATGATTGACTACCAGTTGATTTAAAATACCCTTTCTAGTGCCTGCTCACTTTTCAAACTTTTTGTGCTGTGAGCACTCTACCGGCCTTTCACGTATTCATGATGCCGATCGCTTGGAAGCAATCCATGTGCTTATGTTTACCAGAGAGTGCTCTGCATTTACCAGCATTTTATAACGAATGGCCAAATTTGATCTGGGGAAGCAAACGAAGATCACAAAGCCACTGTTTCTTATCTTGGCTGTATGTGTGACTGACTAATACAGATTAGAAATGATAGCTATTAACTGACAATGCCAGTATGAGACTATTATTTAGCTATTATTAAGAGGAAAAAGCACATATCTTCTGGACTCGCATTAATAACAATAACAAAAGGTTTTTTTTTGTTATTGAGGAAAATATTTCCACAATAAGGCATAAAAAATAGCTCGGTGTGTTGTTTAACACTAATGACAAATTAAATAAAGTTTTATACGCTGTATTTTACTCTTGTGAAATTTATTTAACATACCTATTAGCTAAATACGATGTTTCTGTATAGTTCCTGTGCATAATCCCCGAGCGAACGGCCGCCGTTTCGGACGTAAGCTTGGGGCGAGGGTACTAATTCCCCCCCAGTTATTTACACCCGGGGAAACGAAAGCATTATCGAAATCTAAAGTTCATCAACCATCGCGGGCGTCGGTGACCAACGGTGGGTGGTCATCCTCACTGATCTCAAAAATATGGCGGACTGTCATCAATAGCGAACACTGATTGGTCAAATTTAAAATTTGCATTATACCGACTGCATTTCTTGATTTGATGATTTCTTGCAAATATATTTTATTTTGCAAGATTTTGTGAATTTCAAAAGCTTTTTAAGAAAAATGGCGAAAGAATCGGCTAAAAGAAGGGAGGAAAGTCGCCGACGTTAAGAAGGCAAGTTTGTTTTAAATATTAATGTATTGTTTGCTTAATTATAATTGCTTTAAAAGCCGATCGTATAGACGTTGCGTATAAACGAATCAAGACAGCATATAATTTTAGTGTATACTTTATTGGCTACCCTTTTTTATTCTATTAAATTTTTTAAATAAAAAAGAAAGCAAAGTTATTTGCATGCGAGAATTTAAAATCATTTTATTTCAAACTCAAAGTTTATCGATAAAGCCAAAACTCAAAAGTATGTTTAGTTTTATACGTATAATAACATATCTAACATATATGTGTTTGGAGAATTGATAATTTCGTAATTAAAAGTGATATTTTAGGGGACTTTTCATTTGAAAAAAATATTCTTAAATTAACAAAATTATCGTGTTACTATGACAACTACTTCATGTTCGGAAAATACAATGGTTTTGTCAATGGTTTTGTCAAGGCGAGGGATTTCTGCATGCATGTATTTTCTAGTTTTGTAATTAGAAGTCAGACTCGTCCCCAGTCGTTATTTGAATTTCAATTTTATATATAGGGACGAATAGGTATATATCCATATATATATATAGATCAGTACCAAATGTGGACGCGCAAGTGGAAAAGGGAAGGCGAGGGGAAAAATAACGACTGGCAGATTACAGAGACAAAATGGCGGACAATTTGACAACAAAAGAGGAAAGACTATTTTAATATACACCACAGAGCGTTTTTAGCTGATAAACTCCCTTGTCCGCATGAGGAATGTCAGTATAATTTATCTTGCTATGATCAAGATGGTTTAGACCACCATTACAGGACAATCCATAAATGTCCTGTAACCTGTTGTTTCAGGCTTTCAGCTGATTAGTGGTATTAAAATTTAAAAGGCGAAAAATCTTATTGTGCCAGATAACTGAGAGAAGCACTCAAAGGAAACACTGTCATGTTTGGAAAAGCTATCGATTAACAACCAATCGAAGGTATTCGTAAATCTAGAGTGTTGAATGCCTTTAATTGGAGCCAGCGAGCAATATAAAAACAGGTTGGTATTTTATTCAATTTTATTTATGCGTTTATATCTTTATATTTCACGATGAAATGCACTCTTAAACTCTTTGGATTATAAAGAAGACAGCTTTTTGCTGGGGTTTTTTTTGCAACATGTGTATTTCACAATTTGGTTGCTGAAACTACAAATTTTTGTTATTTATAAATTACTTTATAAAGTGCTATTAACTCCAGGTTTTGTGTAATATGATTATGTGCCAACTTAAAACTTTGCATACAAGGCTATTAAATCAATGACAAGACTTTTGGAGCATTCAAATATTTCCCAAAATACCTGTAAATAACAAAATATACCCCCCCCCCCGTAACTAAATGTTGCTGTATGATGAAAAGACGTTACATTGGTCATTAACAACACATTGTTGGGGGGCACATGGTTGTAGGGATAATATAGAAGCTCAGGTGGCACATAACTCCTATCATAGCCTTAATTAAACAATTTGAAAAACCAGAAATACTGTATCAATGCACTGGGGCCAATCTGGCAATTACTTCTAACTATGTTCTGACAATCCTTGCACTCATAGTCCTTGAAATGATAAGGTAATTTCTACCTTGTATCATGGCCAACGTTTAGGGCCACTTTCGGTGCCTTAGCAAGCTCGATAATTGGGGGAGGCTCATATTCATATATTATATTCGTGTTCTGCGTTATTAATTTCTTTTGAAATGGATTGTTTTTATGGACTGTGAATATGAATATATGAATATGAGGGCCCCCCCCCCCCCAATTATCGAACTTGCTACGGCACTGACTTTTGGTTGTTATACCATTAAGTCTGATAATTGCACCACCAATGGGTCTGGTATCTCTTGTTTTTCCCATCATCATTTCTGTACTCAACTTTACAACATATAATATATTCTTGTTTATTCCAGAATTATCTTACAATTGGGACACCATTTATCACACAATTGGGAATTTGTCCTGACTCACCCTGGTTTCCCAATTAAGCCTTAGAGTGACAGCACTCTCCCTTGATGAGTAAATTGTCTGGTGTTAGACAGAGTAAAATAATAATGTAGGGCATATCAGGGTGCATTGCCACTTAAAGGGTTAATCTTGATCTGGGTGGAAAAATACTGCAGTACCAAGCAAGATGTATGGAAATTGAAGACACAAAAGCTGGTTTAATTTTGAACCATTTTAATTGGACTTCTTCAATGGAATTATTAACAGTGAATAATTTTAAATTAATTTAAAACTAAAATGTATTATAATTACAGTTAATGTACATGATGTAGTGGAGCATGTCTATTAGGCCAAATAAAAAAAAAATACTTGGTTAGCGTCACCGCCCGCCTTTCGATTTTCTGCCGCCTCTGAATTTTTTAAAATTTTTTTTATGTAAATCTCTTCGTTTTACAGCTTAAAACAGTTTAATATTTGAAATTTTTCTCATGCTCAGACCTTCGCGCTATATACTGATCGATAGGAGCGCATAGGCTTGGGTATACAAGGTTCTTAAAGCAAAATGGCGGCCTTCGCAACATCAGTACAAAAAATATCACCGATATGGTGGAAAAACCGCCCCCATCCCCTCCAAAAATACTATTAAAAAATTAAAAAACGAGTAAAAATTTAAAAAAAAATCCGCCCGCCCGCCTCTGAAAATTTGTGAGAGTGTGACGCTAACCAAGTATTTTTTTTTATTTGGCCTTATATTAACTTTTGAATTTGAATTTATTAATAAAATATAGACTTTGCAACCATGAAGGTTGAAATACATCTATCATTTACAGGGTAAGGTTGATTAGAAAAATATTGTATATTTACAAAAACATATTTACTATAATATAGGAAGAGTTTAAAACTTTTAGTATGATATTACCATAATATTTACAAATAAAAATGTATGTAATTTATAGTTACTCAGTGTTTATTATAAATCGTTACAGACGAGGGAATGTACGAATTTTTGAAGCGATTTGTCCGACAATTAATTGGAACGAGTTTATTCGATGTGCGTAGATTGTAGCTTGGATGTTCGGCTGGTTCAACTAGTTCGGATAGAGGACTAGTTTGCGGAAGAACCTTTTTTCTAAAAAATTTTGAACATAACAGTTCGCGCCTAGAATACAATGTTGGGATATTGAGATCTGATAAGGATTCTTTGTATGATGACGATGGGTTAATTATTTTCAACGCTCTTGACTGGATCCTTTCTATTTCTTTGGATAGGTATTCAGGTATGTTATAATGCCAAACTTGGGCGCAATACTCCAAGATGGGTCTTACACATGAAAAATACACTGATATCAATGTTTTAGTGTCACAACGAGCTCGCTTGAGGAGTCTAAGCATGTAAAGGCGTTTTGCGGATTTTTTCACTATGTAAGCCACGTGGTCATTCCACTTTAGGTCGTCCTTGAAAATTAAGCCAAGGAGTTTAGCGGATTTCACAACTTCAATGGGCTGTTCGTCAACGATCATTGGAGGGAAATTTGGATTGTTTTTCCAAAAACAAACGAGGATTTCTTTGCATTTACGGGGGTTTAAGGACATGTTATTTCTTGCACACCACTGCGTAATTCCTTCTAAAATAGTTTGAAAGTTCGAATCTTGGTTTCTAGAAAGGGTTTCTGAAACAGACGAATCGTCAACATATTTCCATCTATCGTCCCAATCAACCAACAAATCGTTTATCATAATCATAAATAGAATCGGACCTAAGACAGTGCCTTGTGGAACCCCGCCGTTCACTGGTTCGAAACTTGAGGTGTATTTACCTATCTTCACTCGCTGTTTCCTGCCAGTAAGAAACTGTTTTACCCATGCAATAAGAACGGGATCGATGGCCATTTCCTCCATCTTCTTGATAAGAATATGGTGATCAATCTTGTCGAAGGCTTTACTAAAATCCAGAAGCAGCACACGCACGCATTGGTCAGATTGGTCGGTAGTTCCATACAGATGATGAAAAAAGGATAGAAGAGCGTGAGTTGTAGATAAGCCGGCGAGTGATCCGAATTGTTTCCTGTCAACGAGGTGTCTGATCTGTGACATAATCCACTCTGCGACAAAATGTTCCAAGGTTTTTGAGAGAATTGGTGTTAGAGATATTGGGCGTAGATCATTTTCAATTTCCTTAACATTATCTGTTTTACGAATAGGTATTACATCTGCTACTTTCCATGAAACGGGTACGACTCTCTCTTGGATTGACGCGTTAAAAATTTCAGCAACGGGTGATGAGAGTTCCATGGCAAACTCGTTTAAGACCCAACTTGGTAAGTTGTCAGGACCCGAGGCTTTAGTGCGTTTGAGGTTGGAGAGCTTCGTAAAAACATCTTCAGGAGAGATGTGGTATTTTGAAATAATTTCGTTAACTACAGCAGGATCAGTTTCAACGTTTTCCAATTGGCTGTTTAGAGGTGGTAGAGAGTTAGTGATACACAGGAAGCTTTCATTAATTTTTGTTGCTAATTCGGTTGAATGGAATTCTTTGCCCGATACAAAAACACTGGATACTGGTAATTTCTTAGGAAGTCCTCCAAGTTGTTTGATGGATTTCCACCAGGAAGCTACATTGTCACAGTTTTTTACCTTATTTGCAAAAAAGGAACTCCTAAGACTGTTATTTAGCCTGTTAACTTTATTTCTCAATTTTTTGTAAACAGGAGGGTCTTTGGACATTGCTTGTTGTCGTTGCTGGATTAGACTCTTCACTTCAGGAGTAATCCAAGGCCTGTCTGTTGGGTGTTGTTTGATTTTTCGGAGTGGGAAGAAAATTTCGATAGCAAAATTTAGCAAAGATTGGAAAGCAGCGAGTTTTTCCGTACAGTTTGATAGTGTTTCAAGGAATGACCAATCAGTAGATGCTAACCATCTTCCAAAACAGGACTTCATGCTTGGCTTTACATTTCTTCTAAAAATTGATTCTACTTTCGTTTTGTGAGTTCTCCTTAAAGGACGAATAAGTAGGGAGTTATGGTCACTTAAGCCGATTCCGGGTAGAATTTGAGGAGTGCTATAATGGTGAAACAGGTTGGTGAAAATTAGGTCGAGGATTGCAGCACCACGTGTTGGATTTTTAACGGTTTGTCGCAGGTTAAAATGGTTACTAATATATCGGTAATTTAAACGATTAAAATCGCCAACCAAAATAATTCCAGCATTAGGATATTTGTTCAAAGCAGCATCCAAAGATGAAATTAGGTGATCCGTAAAAGTAGCATCATCGTCTTGTGGTGGGTGGTATATAATACCGATAATTAGGCAAGAAAAACCTCGTGGGAGTCGGTTCGGACGGAGGTATACCCAAAGAGATTCAAATGGGGAATCATTAAGTTCGTCAATTGTTGTGAAATCAATTGATGATTTGATGTACGTACAAACACCACCACCACGTTTATCAGCGCTTCGATCTTTCCGTACTAGCGTGTAATCACTAATGTCGACTACTGAGTTGGAAATATTATTGGTCAGCCAAGTTTCTGTAATACAAACTATATCCACGTCGTTTTGGTTAATGACAACTTCCAGATCCTCAATTTTATTAACGAGTGATCTTGTATTAGAAAGGAACAAAGAGGGTAAGGAACTTTTTTCTTTTTCTCTCGAAGGAACCTTTCTTGTCGATGTTAAATTAATAGGTACCAAGTTACTTCGTCTCTTTGAGTTAATGTTTGAAGTATTATTAGAATTACAGTGGTTGTAATTTTGTCTCTGTGTAACTCTAACAGGAATAGCTAAGTTCTTTTTCTTATCATCCCATGAACAAATTCTAGGTAATTCAACCAATCTTTCTGATTTTGTTGTGGTTGATGGTTGGGCTGGGAATAAAGCTTTATACATTGCTTTATACTTAATAAAGCTTTATACATTCATATGTTATCTGCATGGTGGGGGGTGGGTGGTTGTGCAGAAAAATTCAGGGGGGGAAGGTGAGTGAAGGGCATGTAGCCACAGAATAAGGCACACAGAAGGTCGACTCGAGTAACCACTGCCACACCATGATTCATCATCAAAATGCTGACGCCATGGTCCTAGCCAGTGCTCATTTAAAAGGCATCCCCCCCTGGACGTTCGCCATTTTGAATAATATCAGGGGGTGAATGCCTCTCAAACGCGCACTGTCTAGGACCATGGCGTTAGCATGTGATGACGAATTACAGGTTACGCCTAAATCATAGGAAAACCCGAGAAGTCGGCCTTCTGTGTACCTTATTCTGTGACGTAGCATCCTGAGGAAGATTAACCAAAACACAATATACCAGACAAATATAAAAATATTATGTCATTTGTAATACAATGTTATGAATTGGATTGATCATGTATTACATATGCACATCAGCCTTTACAGATGTAAAAAGAATATATTTGTTTATGTTCGCACAACACCCTTTTCTTTTCACAGTTAGGAAATATGGCTGCCAAAGCTCTTGAAAGGTGGCTTTTTACACTAAGATCATCAGTAACAACATCCTCTTGTTTAAGTCTCAACCCATCTGTTTTGATGCATATAGTCTTTAAAGAGCCCTGAAGATCTCCAGGAACAAATGTGCCAACATCACCTGGACATTCAAACAAGTGACTTATTAAAAATACAAGTTCCAACCTTGAACAACTTTCCTGCATTTAGTTCTTGCCTTCTTGGTAATCCCGGACTCTTAGACTCCGTTTACACGGTACCGAACGAATTTGTGACCGGACGAAAATTCGTCCGTTTCGGCCGTGTAAACACACGAGAACCACGGAAACGGACGAATTTGAGACCCCCTAACAGGACGAATTCGCGTGTAAACAGGCGAAAAAGGACGAATTTTCGTCCGGTCCCAAATTCGTCCGGTACCGTGTAAACGGGGTCTTAGAATCTGGTGTTAGGTCGTGTTTGACGTCAAATGGCAGTAACTTTCTCGCTTTAGGAGTTCTAGGAGTGCTGGTCTTAGGACATTCATCTGAATTTATGGAATTGAAGTCTATAGTTCAGAACGACAAAAATTACAACTTGAAACAAAGCAACATGGCGCTAATCAGCCGAGCGTATAATGAATTCCAGTTTCTTAATTTCTTTAGTATACGCAAATTTATGCTACGGCTCAAAGGGTCAACAAATTCAAGACATTCAAGTGGTAGAATGTATTATATTATCTTTTAGACTCACCATCTAAGTTCATCAGAGTTCGCCATTTTGAAGTACTCCAGACTTGACCAATTGAAGGCCGATATACTTGATAAAAATACGCACTTTGCAGAGACTACATCATAAAATAATCGATTTATGTATACGAATGTCAAAAAATCCAAAATTGAAGCATAAAATATTAGTTTGTAAGAAAAACAATTTCTTGCAAGAAAAATCACCGTAATCTGCCAGTCGCTAAATTTTCTTCTTTCGCCCTTGCCGTGAGCCTCTACGCGCCCACTTCTGGCCGCGCGCCCGCTCTTAAAGCGACTGGGGACGAGTCTGATTAGAAGTGTTATTTTGAGGGATTTTCAACTTTAGACTATTCTTAATAAAATTATCGTGTTACCATTTCAACTACTTTCAATGCATGTTCGGAAAACATAATGATTTTGTCAGTAAGGCGAGGGTTTCTGCATGCATGTATTTTATAGTTAATTTTTGCTAAACTGCTACATTCCATTCCATATCGGCGACCAATCAGATTCAGGTCCTGTTATCAATTATCCCAGAGCCTCACGTTCCTTTCTCACAGGATTGCGGGCTCGACGAACGAGATTGTTATGCTGTTGAAAAGGAAGTACTACTTTTAATTATCAGGATTTTGAGCATTTCATTCGATTCGATTTTATTAGACTTACTAGCCAGGGGCAGTTACGAAAAAACGCCACTATCTGCCCTCTGGCAGGAATCGAGCCTACGGCCCTGCGATTCCGGTGCAGCGCTCGAACCAACTGAGTAATACAGAGAAACGGTTGTCGAGCTCTCGCCACAAGTTCACGAATAGGCGAACTGATACCGCGTATGTGGGCAAATCAGATTAGGACTTTGCGCAATCTCATCTGGGGTTTAAAGTTTGTTCGTTCACGGCAACCAGTTATATAAGTCATGTTTTCGCTCGCTACTCATGTTTACATAAATGAATACGAAGCCCAGTCGAATTGTAATTAAGACCCAACGTTTCGACACTCCAGTCTAGTGTCTTCCCCAGGGGTGATCTAGAGTTGCAATCGTGGCTTCTCAAGCTCCCTAGGGATGACGTCATCTGCTAATAAGGTGCATGTATTCTTCTGGCAAATAGACACCGTCATCCCTATTCAAAGCATGATTACTCATATTTATATGGCACGCTACTAGTCATCGTCTTTGGCCATGGCGATTGTCGTTTGTGGTAATTACTTTAGAATTTTCCACGCAATGGCTTGTGTTTGGTGTCACACATGTTCTGATAAAGCTGAATTCCCCTTGTTTAAAGTTGAAACAGTCTTTTGATGTTCATTCAGCCGTGAACCAAACTGGCATTTAAACTGACCCAAATACTCTTTCTTGCAGTCACCGCATGGTATAGAATATACAACATGAGTTTTCTAATTTAATTGTTGTAACAGGATCTTTCGGTTTTGCGAAAATATGGCCTAAAGTCAAATAGGGCTTTAAGGCAACCTTAATCTAAAATTACTTAATATTCTCTTGATTGGTTCTGTGACACCGTGAATATATGGAACTACTGCATAATCCTTGGCGGAGGTGCCACCCTCGGAGTTATTTTGGTTCTTACAAACAGGTCAGATTCAGGCAATCATTGAGAAAAAGTTTTGGGTAATCGTTTTCCCCTAAAACATTTAGTACATATTCACGTTAATTAGCTTGAGAATCATTGTTTGACAGCATGGATTCAGCTCTTTGAAGCAAAGTCTTTGCCATGGATCTTTTATTGCTTAATGCGGGGTGATGAGAGTCGTATGACAAATATTTTTGTTATATAGTTAGTGTCAAAGTTCAATTTTTCTGTTTGCCGATTGGTCAAAAGCGTGTCACGTGCCGGTCCACAAAACGTCATGTTCGGCAACCGGTCTGCAATGAAACATTTATTGACCGGTCAATAATAAAATGGATGCAATACGCATGCGTGTCAACCGTCAAGTTCCAAAGTTCATTTAATAGTTTTGCTGTTTTGAAATTTAAAAAAAATGTCTGCTCGGTTCGCTAGTCGTTCCGAGCAGGATATTGCTCAGATATTGCAAGACAAAGATAGTAAATCAACAAAAACAAGTACGAAGTTGGCAAGTTGACTTACTAAAACAGTTTTGTGCGGCGAAAGGACTTGCTCTCGAAGAACAATGCCTTGAAAGGTCCAAGTTAGATGGTCCGCTTCTCTAGTCTTCACTATGGCCTTGCAAGATATTTCTTATCTGAAAAAAAAGATGGACATTACGTCGGACAAATAGCGAGTTTCGTTCTTCGAACGAGACTTTTTTTGCCGTTACTACTGAGTTGAAAAAGTTGGGAAAGGCCAAAATTAACCACCAACCAGGAATTACTTCACAGGATTTGAAAAATCTATACTCGTGCTACAACGTGACAACGCCAAGAGGACTGCAAGAAAAACGCCTTTTCGATATTATTTTTTTCCTGGTTAGAAGAGGACGTGAGAATTTGCAAGAACAAACAAAGCAAACATTTGCCATTGCTATTGACTCTTCTCAAAGAAAATATGTTTACCAAGCAGTTGACGAATTGAACAAGAATCACCGCGAAAGCGATAATCCACAGGATTCAGTTACAGATGCAAGAATGTACGAACAGCCAGGAAATCCATTGTGTCCAGTGCGTTGTTTTGAATTTTATCTTTCGAAACTGAATCCAGGCTTGAATTTCCTATGGCAGAGACCAAAATAAACGGCGGCGGCGGACGAAAATATACGGTACGACAAAGTACGGCCGTCGGGAAAAATACGCTCGGCCGCGACACTCATTAAAAAACTTTCAAAATCTGCTGAATTATCTATGGAATATACAAACCATTACATCAGAGCGGCAGCTGTAACCGTGTTAGATCAAAAGAACTTCGAAGCAAGACATATTGTGAGAGTGTCGGGACACAAATCCGAAGCGAGCATCAGGTCATACTCTCGACGCCTGTCAGAAGAGAAGCAACGAGACATATCAAATTCTTTGAGCCATTATTGTTGTTTTCCGTCTCACGCCATGAGTGATATTCGTTTGGTGCCAAATCCCGAGAGTGAACCCGCAGCCAAAGTTCCTCGATTAGTTACCGAGAGTTCTTCGTCATTCATTGAAATCTCTTCGCAGGAATACCGGTCAGCACTTGATACAGTTTTACACTCCCCGTTGCCGTGTTTGTCTCTTCCCGGTTCGCCTGTTCTGAACAGCTACAGACTACTCGGAGAAAAACACTACGAAAAACGAGACTGTTTCATTCCAGCCAGGAGAAGTTAAGGACTGTAATGTGACTATAAATCTCAACTATAAGTAACTTGCCTTGCACGCACTAAATTTTTTATTTAATACCTGTAAATGACAGTGTTCAAGTGTATGTTTCCACTTTTCAGTTCAGAATGTTGTAATAAATATTTAACTGTTGAGTGTTGTCTAGTTTTTGTTTCAAAGTTCACTCCAGTAACCGGTGAATTATTCATACTTTGACACTTATATACTATACAGAGTTGCAAAAAAGCTGCGTGCTTGCGGGCATTGCCCGTGAGGAAGGTTTACCATAGGCGAGGTCAGTGAGAAAGGTTTAGTGGTCAACAGTCGCTAACACCAAAAAAGTGAAACAAGTAAATCATAGTTGAATAGGCAGTTGAGGCTGACAAGTTGTGCTGGTACTATTGTGGTGGTATTATTGTGATATAGTACCTATAACATATGTATTGACTATGACATTGGAGAATACTGAGAACACAATAACTGAAAATATTCTGTAAAAATAAAAAGGAATAAGTGTCAAATATCAGAGGCGCCTTAAACCATTGCACCGCAAATAACAGGAGGCTATTACTAAGAGCTACTCATCATGATTACAATAAGAAATTCACCTTGAACATTATATTATTCAAAGATTATTTGATTACATGATTCCAATGTATTTAGAGAATAATTAATAGTTATAAATTAAATGAACCATCATTGCTGTAGCAGCTAAACATTGTAATAATTATATAAATATGGTCAAGGTGAATTGTTGTAAACTGCCACAAAAATTATAAATAAAGCTGAGGAAGAAATTTTAGCATGTGTGATGTGAGTCTGACGAAAATAATACAGCTTGGTTACTGAGGTGTGTAGCTGTCATACATATTTAATACAGATCAACAAAATGTATCAAGGTCCTATAATCGAAATCATTGTTTACATACCTGATACCTACACCGTCAATTCCCACAATTTATAAGATAACCATATGTATATTGCAGAATTGGCAGCGTCTGTTATAGGGATTAATATATTGCCATTGATTTTCAACCATTCCAAACATTGCCATTGATTATAAACCGCCATGCAGGGCACTATACTGCATGGTTTAAATTTAGCACTTTGCTTCGGAAACAAGTGAGAGCATTCGCTGCCTTGCTGACTGTGTAATTGAGCGATTGGGTCACACATCTAAAGACCTAAACACTTTCAAATGCCTTTCAAAACCACAAGTACCGAAACATCAAGATCAAATACCACCAGACCACCTCTGGAATGTTGTTGCCATGGTTTTACTGCTGACCTCTATATATGTGTACAGCATAGTTTACTAAAACATGGAACGAGCCACAACGACCTGCCACGACCCCACAACGACCCCAGAATTACCTTCAGTTGCAATTTTGCATGACAATAAATAATATAAGTTATTGTTTGTGGATACACCACATATTTTATTATTGCAAAGCTTTCGATCCTAATCTCGATCCTAATCTTGATCTTCACGCGAACCGGTGGGATTTAAAACGCGGAGAATAAATGAGCTAGCAAGGGTTAAATGTGAGAGCATCGACACACACAAATAGAGGAATACCTTTGTTCATAACATTCGGGACATACACCACTGTACTAATAAATATATTTACTTTCAGTATAATATGAAAACAATATGAACACTTTTCAGTTTCAGCCAGCAAAAATAAATGCAAAAATTAAATGAAGCTTGCGCAGACAGCAGAACAACACGAAGACAGACGATGTTCGTAATGACTACAGAATTTATCACATAGTGCAAAAGAAATTAAAGATCTGTTTTTAACGACTACAATATTTGGCCGAAAAATATTGATAACTATTTGGAGTTGTACACACCTTTTTCGTCTGACATGTTTAATAATCAACACATGTTATCAAAATTGGCGGGAAAATGCAAGAATTCCACTTGCGCATGCAGAGATTTTCCCTATGGATTTCCCTAGCTATGCTTCCCTACGCCCTGATTTGCTCTATAACAGGAATAGCTGTGGAAGTACTGATGGTGGCCAATGATTGGGGCACAGAATGTTATTGTTGGATTGTTGTGAACTTGTGGATCATTGTGAGTTGTTGTGGCTGGTTTTGGGTCGTTGTGGGTAATTTTACGGTCGTTGTGCGGTCGTTGTGGCTCGTTGTGGGTCGTTCCATGTTTTAGTAACTACGATGTGTACAGGCATAAATTCAACAACTTCAGTTGATATCGACAGGAAGGTTGTGACCAAATCATGCATCATATGTATAGGATGTAGATATAGTAGGTAAGGACTATCCAATTTGTCCAAAGTATAAATGTATTACTGCAAATTATATATTAGAATCATGTACTGCATTTAATTACATGTCTCTTTCAAACTTTATGCTTTCAGAATCAGTTAAGTTTATATACTCTAATATATTGCTATTTGATGAAGCCATATTTTAGTATTTATTCAATTTATTTTGAGGAAGGTTTGAAAACTTTAAATTTTACCCGGAGGAAATTTGAACAGGTTTTGCAACTCTGATACTATAATCTATATAACAAAACACTTATTTACTGAGACCTCGGGAAAGAATTGTGTTTTGTGGCCCCTCGACCGCCGTTGTTGCCCTCGGCTTCTCTTCGGGCAACAACGGCGGTCTCGGGTCCACAAAACACACTGTTTCCCTCGGTCTGAGTAAATAAGTGATAAGTATGTGTGTGCGTGGATTCGCGAGAAACATAAGTCTCTAACTTCCCTTCGACAATTCTGTGAACATCAAAATTTAATCTAAAAAAGCTAAATGTCTAGTTATCTCACGTTCTACCGTGAATTGGATGGACGGCTCAAAATTATTTAAATTTTACAGCAGTATATCGATTTCATTTCTAGAAATCGCAGAGATGACATCATCCTGATCATCGACGAATAGTTTCCAAAACGAAAGAGATCTCATCCGGGGGTTGCCCACGGACAGAAATTAAGCCGACGTACAGGACGATTCACCGACAAGATTTTTTATTTCAAGTTTATTTTCTAAAATAATGCTCACAGGTAATGAGTCATTACATATCCCTTGTGGAAATCAGCCTAGGTTGAATATGGTTAGCTTGTTTAAATAAAAGTTTCTATCTATCTATTGGATGACTAAGACAAATTAATCAGATTATTAGTCAAATTAACGACTTGTGCAGATATTGTTTCACAGTTTCATTGTCTCAAAGCAATTCTCAAAGCGATTGTGAGGTTTAGTTTATTTTCTCAATTATCACTCGCTACGACTTCAGCTTGATAAGGGTCCAGGTTAGGGTATGGATTAGCGCATGTCAGCTTTCATAAACATCTAGATACGTACAACTCGTTTTCGGTGAACAACCAACGCTGACATCAAACTCAGTATTCGCAACATAATAGGCAGACGGACAAAATTTGTCGAGAACATGCATATAATTTATTTAATTCATCGTGGTAATTAACTGTTACACAGTTCACAGTTAATAGCCGTACTATTAACTGTGCACAGTTAAACAGCACTGAATCGTTTAAAGACTTGCCCTCGCCACTTTATTCGTCAAATATCTCAACATTTTGTTACCAAAACTAGTGCATTACGGCAAGCAAGTGGAAAAGTACTGTACTGCAGTTGAACCCCTATTAACGGACACCACACAAATGTGTCCACTTAAACACGGTGTCTTCTCAATAGGGGTTATAACAACAGGACGTTTTCTAACATACAAGCTGGAGGAGAATGCCCTCCAGTCCCCCTCGTGCCCCACCCCTCCCCACGAAATCACTCCCCCCATGAAAAGTCCCTTTTCCTAAGTTTTTACAAACAAACAAGAAGAATAACAAATAGATAAACGAAAAGTTAGTTTTAAACTTCATCCTTTGTCCTTATTTAACGAAATCGACTTAAATTGTTTTGTTTATCTAACACTAAGTAAAAATAAATTATTGTTAATAATTTTTTTGAGTATTACTGCAATAAGCCAACATAAATACCGCAATTAGCCAATATTAGACCTTCTATTTTTAATATTTTTTTAATATTCAGCGCTTTTTCATATGAGAAGACTGGGCCCTAGGCAATTTGGGGACGGGGCGGAGGAAGAGCGAAAGCGAACACCTAAAAGCAGATTTCCCAATCCGAATGCCAAAAACTGCCCCGAATTTGCGCCACTTGGATATGCCCAATTCTTGCGTTCTCAAATGGCTCTCTAAAGCCTGGGGCCCGGGACAAATTCCCCCATTTGCCCCCATTCTCTGGGCGTCCCCGTGTGTTTATAAAATATACAAACACATATACAATGATTAACGGATACATACATATATTATTAGCCCGTACAGTGTAAATAGTTAATCGGTATCAAAGCAAAACAGTAGATTATCTTGCGAATAAGATAATTATTTCGAGTATAAATCAGTGCACAAAATTGTTGGAACTTTAAAGTTGTTTAGTACAATTTAAATGCATATATGACATGAAATTTCTTATTTTCTTAAATGACAGAACTCTTCAAGTTGTTTTTGTGGTTTGTTCCCGAGATATTTCAATTTGTTTGATATGTAAATGAGTGTGAATATGTCCGCTAATTTATGACGTCAGGTTTGTTGCAAGCTCAACTTACACTGGTTATAAATGTATTAACTCTAAAAACTGTAGATGTCAGTTCACGTTTTTCTCCAGTGTTTCATCACATTTATCGGTGAGTGAAGTTTCAAATTATCATGTTGGATAACAGCAGTGGTATTCAACCATTTTGAAGAGCTTGCAACCAACATGACGTAATAAATTAGTGGACATATTCACATCATTTACATATCAAACAAATTGAAATATCTCGGGAACAAACCATGAAAACAAGAAACTGAAAAATAAGTTACACTACAGCTTAAAGAGTTCTTTCATTTAAGAAAATAAGAAATTTCATGTCATATGCACTTTAACGCGACATTTATAAACTTATTATAGGTCAGTTTAGTCATAAAAAAGTTTTTCCCGAGTCAACGTCGCGGAGCACCGTTCCGGGCGGAAAGCCGGTTTTCCACCAGGTGGAATTTTGCGCGCGGAGCGGAATTTCCCTTTGTCTTTTCAAATTAGTTCCACCCGAGAAATCACAAGACAAAGAAAAATTCCGCTCCGCGCGCAAAATTCCGCCTAGTGGAAAACTGGCTTAAGCCCGCGTGCGAGGGTCCTAATTCCGCCCGGCTATTTACACAATGGGAAAGGAAAGCATTAGCGAAGTCTAAAGTTCATCAATGATCGAGGGCGTGGGTCACTGTGCGTTTTGGTTGGGTGGTCTTCTCACTGATCTCAAAATATGGCTGTTTGCCTGGAGTGAAGAAGGCAAAAATATAAAAAATACATGTAAGAAAGCCTGGAAAATCGTTTCACATAATAAATTTTAAAACTTTTTTCATTTTTTAAAATTAAACATTTATAAGAATTGATTTAGTATGGGAAATCTTAAAGTATAGCGCAAGTTTGTTTCACTTGTTTATGCCGTGTGACTTTGTTCTTGTTGTTCATGTCCTATTCATTGTATGCAACGTTTCTTAGTTATTAAAATTAACTTTTGTAGAAGTTCATGATAAAATTAAAGGAAAGCAAATTATGTTCATAAGCGTCCTGCACGAATTAAATTTATTTCATTTCAAGTGAGAAGTTGAAGTGAAGAGTTTATTAGCTTAATATCTGCAAAACGTTAATTTCAATTCACAATTAAAAAAGTTTTACATAGAGCTTCGTTTTGAATTTTACATTAAAATAAAGCCGAAAGAAAGCAAAATAATACACCTTTACTTTATATATTTTATAAATTGATAGTTCTGTATATTTAATGTGTTCAAGTTTCATCAATTTTTTTCAGTCTTGTACAAAAAGTTTAAAAAACAATTACAGTGTTGCTATGACTAACATGACGTGACGACGCGAGCCTGCGTTCAGTGTTGGCATAATTACGAATACTTCATGTTGAAACAATGTTTGGAAAATATAGGCGAAGGGTCGTCGCATGCATTCATGTATTTCTAGTATAGTTAATGTAATAACTACTGAATGACTAAAGCAATTTATACCATCCGATATTTTAAATTGCTTTCGTTGTTGGTTTCAGATCATGAAGTTATGGGGCTAATTTGAAACTTGTGAAATCGACTAGGTTTGAAGGCCATTTTCCGCTAGGCGGAATTTTCCGCGCGGAGCGGAATTTCTCTTTGTCTTTTCTAATTAGTTCAACCCGAGAAATCACAAGACAAAGAGAAATTCCGCTCCGCGCGAGCGGAAACTAGTGAAAAACGGCCTTTATGAGGCAATACCATGGCGATACTTACCAAATGCTAGCCCGAAATTGACCAAACCTGCCAAAGCCAGCGGAGCAAAGGCCCAGGTCTACGCTGGGAAATTCCCTGATTTCTCGGAAGGCCAACCAACTATTTTTGACCTTCAGTTGCAACCCTATCCCGCCCACGCACTGGACTCACATGATGAAACTAATATGCATGCTGTAGTTAATTATACTTGCGAAATATGGCAATTGAACTATTAAGCGCTTACAATATATAGCTACTGTATAGTTATACTAGCCCATTATTGTATAGTTTATTACCTCCATCTGGTACACAAATTAGTTATGGTTTTGCTGTCTGATGTTCCCATGTTAAGTGTGCGCTGGGTCAAAATACTTCTGACTGCAGCATGCATATTTCTTGTATACAAGATTGTGAAATACTTTACTGGCAAGGTGAGGGAACTACCACCAAACACAACTAACCGACGACAACTTCATCATAATGAACAAGTGCTAGATATTCTTTCAATGGAAAAATCTGGCTCAGGGAATATATGCTTGGGAATATCTATAACACCAAAACAGAGTCTGGTACACGAACATGTTCGCGACGCTCGGGTGCTGTTAGCCAAACGACAGCCGATGCTTCGAGCAGTCATAGCAACAATATCGGACGGGAATAAATATTTCGAGATCAAGGAAATCAATGAAGTGATTGCAATGTTCGATATCACTATTTCCCATGTGAAGGCTTCAGACTGGAAAGATGTCTGGTTCGAATATACAGAAAAACAACGAGCAAATGGCCGTCTGTTATGGCGAGTTGTGATACTACACGAGGAATTCATGCCAGACACGAAAGATTGTGTTAATACATTAATGTTTAGCTTCAGTCATGTCTGTACTGATGGCGTGTCTTCTATGAAGTTTTGCAAGCAATTTCTTAATAATATGAATGAACTTGCAAACGGTACTGGCTGTGTACATCACGAAATCTCCAGTTTAGATCTGCTGCCACCTTTCCACGAGATTGTCACACGGGGACGAATTTGGCATTCATTATTTAATTTTATGCTGGCTTATTGCGGCCTACGATCGATTTTGAAATTTTGCATGGAAAGACTGTTAGGTCGCTTCATGGAAAAGAAGCCGAATAATCCGTATCACGAGCAGTTCCCACCAAATTCACGTGCTCGTAACTCACTCACACCGAGTCGACTGAATGTAAAGGTCTTCACTGGGGGCGAAACGAAGAATATTATTCAAGCATGTAAAGCAAATAATTGCACTGTAACTGGAGCCATCACAGCTGCGGCACATTTAGCCTTTTGTGAACTTATTCAAGACAATCAATCGAAATATATGGAGTTAGAGTCCTTCCTTGCTATCAATGGTCAACGCTTCTGTGATCCAAAACCGCACGACGATTACCTCGGGTTTTTCGTGTATGTCATTCAGGACTTTTACATGAAGTATGTAGCAGGCGCTGGTGTTGAATTTTGGAAGTTAACCCAGGAAGCTACTGAGAAAATAAAAGAATTTTTGAGGAAAGAAGCATATGTCGTTGAAACCACGGTAATTAGTGGAATAATGGAGCCAAGAGAACTTGTGAAATTATTCAGTAATGATAAGTTATTTCCGAAATCCGGATGCAATTTCATATCAAGTTTCGGATCTTTTCACTTAGGCGAACAGCAACATGACACGTATAAACTACATGAATGTATTATAAACAGTCTTGTTCATAATATGAACTGCACTTTCTTTCATTTTAACTACACCATTAATGGTAAAATGACCTGGCAAATAGCCAGTAAATTTATTACTGCAAAGCTTTCGTCCGTAAGTCCGGATCTTCATCAGTGCTAATAATATGTATTAGCACTGATGAAGGTCCGGGCTTGCAGATCGAAAGCTTTGCAGTAATAAATTTACGTGGTGTTTCCACAAACAAAACTATTATATGTTTTATCGCCATGCAAACGTACAAAGAACTTAATAAACAGTCAGTGGCGTAGCCAGACTATAATTTTTTTTTGGGGGGGGGCATATATCGAAATCCGAAGGCGTAAGCCTTCGTAGGGGGCCCGGGGGTATTCTCCCCCGGGAAAATTTTGAAATCTGGAGTCCCTCAATGGCGATTTCCCGTGTCTCTGGGGTGAGATTTTGCACAATTCTGAAGATTATTTACTGCAGGGAAGACCTGATTTTAATGATTTCTCGCGTGTAAATAGTTAAATTAAAGTTCTAAAACGCGTTTTATCCAATAACCACCGTAGGCATTATTTTCTGTAGTTAGATTTAGGGAAGACTAGAACTTTTATAGACAATTTGGTGAACAGATGAGATTGGTAGTCACATGGGTAGTCATCGTCTCCCCCCCCCCTAATATCTACCCAGATTTCATCTTTTTACAAGGGCAGTCCTTCAGCCTATTGGGGTGGGGGGGCTGAGCCCTCCCTTGCCCCCCCCTTGCCCCCCCTTGTCTACGCCACTGTAAACAGTCTGTTCTTCTTCCATTTTTAATCGAAAAAAAGTGATCATGTCAGTAGTGTAATATAACCGGTCCTAGCTCATTTTGGTTAATACTTCATGTAAGGCAAATTATAGTGGATCCGGGCAAGCATGGGCATGCCCGTAATCCCATTCCCGGAAGTCGGAATTTCCGGAATAGAATCGATGACGTCACTTCCGGTTGCCCAATTCCTCTGCCTACCCTCATACTCCTCACGCTTCCGTACCCTCGCGCCGATACACCACCAACACACTTCCGACACACGGACATCACACTGTCGACACACGCACAACACACTGCCAACACACTGCCTGCCCCATGCCGACACACAGACACATCAACATCCCCCATGCCCCCGTGCCCTCATGTCGACACACTGCCGACACACGGACATCACACTGCCGACACACAGATACACCGACATACCCCCCGTCCTCGCGCATCCGTGGTCGCGACCACGCAAGCACGCAAGTGTACGCGCACATGCTCTGACAATTTGTCAGAAATTCCCGTGGGTGTTGACCCGATGAATTTAGTCCTCCGCAGGACCACCGCTCCCGCCGCGTCCCGCATGTTTGTCGGGGTTTCTGGTGGGGTTTGTGTATAAGTAAAAGTATGGATAGGGAACCGAGGGGGAGGAGCAAGGACATGAAACTTTTTGATATAGCGGAGAAGGAGTATTTGGATCTTCTTGCTTCAAGGGAACCTGTGACGTTTCCGGATAAGCACTTCTGTTCAGAGGGACATAAGCATCAGCTTATTGATATAGACGGGGAAAGAACGTGTTGTGAATGTGGACTAATAGTTGGAAGAACGGATTACGTTTCCGGATACGGCTGCTGGGACAGAGCAATTATGAGGCGTAAGTATATACCAGCTACTATCCGTGAGAAAGTCCGTAACTTTATAGTTAAGAAGGAAATGTTGGGACAATACCTATTTAGGGAAACACTGAGACAGTACCCTATTCTTGGGGGAGTAGTGGATGAGGTTATGAACTGGGTTGTGTATATTTGTGAAGCAGAGGAACCTAGGGAGAAGAGGATACCCAATCTTAATATTATGATATATCAGGTATGTAAAATTATTGATGTGAATGTAGATGAGTCTCTACTTAAGATTCCTAAGGGGAAGGTCCCTCACGATCGGTGTAAGAAATTGTTTCAGAAGCTGGATTTGAAGTATACTGAATAATTCTAATGTCTTTTACCAGTCATTAAAATTGAAGTATTAGTCTTAGGGTAACGATAGCAAGGTGAACCTCAACCGTTATCGGAATTAGCAGGAGGCTGATCAGGCACAGCCACACTAGTTTCCGTGGTATTCTCATCATTTTGTTTATCTTATTTCTTTATGGTTGTACTAGCGTAACCGATTTGGGTATGTGCGCTCATCGTGATGTCTCCTCGTTCAATGCCAATTCCGAGGTTGAACATTTTCCTTCTTTTATGATTTTTGTTGTACTTTATTCTGTTCTCGGTTTCAGGTTTTGAGGACAGGCATCCCATTTTATTTCTTAGCCTTATGTTTGATGGGTTTGGGTTTAGGTTTAGGTTCTGGCTTGGGTTCCGGACAGCATTCACCCTTCTTCATGTATCTGTAGTTCTTTACGCTAGAGCTGTTGAATTCGACCCTTGCATCTGCACCGAAGGTTAGACTTCCCTTACCCACCTTAACACCAACGGTTGCTTCCTTACTTTTCTTATGCTCTCTGACGATTTTTTCCTTCTTCTTTTCACTACTCATTTTTATTTAACCGGAAAATAAAATGTCATTCAACATGATTATCGTAGGTATAACGGCCTGTGGGAAGACGCATTATCTCATCCGGGAATTAAGGACGACGTTCTTTCATCAATTTGAAAATATATTCCTGATCTGTCCTACCTACCACTGGAATAAAACCTATGATCAGGATTTCATTCATGAGGACGACAATTTCTTTATTATCCCCTGCGTGCAGGATGACGTGGAGGACTACCTTAAATTTGTAGTGGACTTCACCAAGGGAAGGGAATCTCTCATCATTCTGGACGACTGTGCCAGCACTAAGTCTGTTAAGGATCGGATGGGAGAGCTGGTCGACCTTGGCTTTAGCGCACGTCACATGAGTATTTCTACCATTGTTATTACCCAGCAGTTAACTTCTATTGCTAAGCCGTACAGACAGAATATTTCAAAATTGGTGACGTTCTATAATCCGAATAGGCAGGACATGAAGATTATTCTGGATGAATACCTTCTTGTTGACAATGCGGAAATGAGATCTATCAAGGAAAAGTTGAAGGAAAATAAGTATGCCCACCTTGAAGTGGAACTAATACACCCGTTCAATCATGAAGTAAAAATTCCTATAGTATAATAAAGGGAATGGAACAGGAACCGCCAAACGCAGAAAATACGGAGATAGAGGACAGTAGGGCAGAGCTCATCCGCCTGTCCAATGCAGGAGAGATTAAACAGTCTGAAAGTTACCTGAAGAAGGCATCCGGGAAGGTTATCATGAAGGTACGGAGGGAATATATTACCACACAGAGGGAAAAGGCAAACGTGTGCTGACGGAGACTTTAATCGAAAAGTTTTCAGATCTCATGGAAGCTATCAATATGGTAGATAGTGGGAACGAACTAAGGGAGGAATTAAATCAGGATAAACTGTTCAGGAGTGATGTTAAAAGTGTAGTAGCAAAGCTGTCCCCATACATACCCTACCTGGGTATTGTTAGTGGTGGGGTGACGACAGTGAAACATGTTTATCGAAAGACACCCGAACAACCACCTTCTGAGGAAGAACCGGAGACCGGTGATCAAGCGTAAAATTTTCCAAACTCTTTTGAGTATGGAAAAACTGTGGATCTTGAATAATTTAGTACTTTATTCCAGCTAGTTGTCCGTTTGTGATCTTGATAACGCCGTCGGAAAGGACGAACAAGTAACATTCAACATTTGCAGTCGTGGCTTTCTTTGTGATTTCCACTAGTATTCCGGACTGGGTGTTCTGGATTTTAGCACCGTTTCCGTATGTGTTGGAATCGCTTGCAGTTCTGAGATCGATGACCAATGCGAATTTCTTATCCTTGAAGAATCCGGTTAGTGTCTGGTGACTGATTTCATCGGTACCGAACAGTCGTCTTGCCTCCTCGTATAGTCTTGTTTTTGGGATACCCTGACTATAGACTGCATTGGGAACACCTTCTATGGTTACCCTAACCTTTTCGATGTTGGGGTAGATATATTCCTCGCTGTCTGTCTTCGTCTTGTTTGTAAATAGCATGACAATGGCTTTCATACTCCTGCGTGGTACGTTGATCGTTTCATTGATGATGGTGGAATCTTTACTCCATTCCGTTTTCTTCATTAGGGTAGCGTGTTCGAAGGATAGCTCGCGTTCGGATCCGTACAGACCCTCGCATTTCCTTGCGAGATCGATGTTGTCGATGGACTCGTATTCCAGTTCGATATTCTCCAGGGTGTATCCTTCCACACTTTCTCCACCTTGAGCGTTCATGATTTCAACCGCTGTGGGTAGGGTGATCACATATTGTAGGTCGTTTGTCATGTTGTGTGGGGCGTAGAGTCCGTGGTCTTTTAGGATCTTGTTGATCCTGATCTTCTGTTTCGTTCCGAATACACCGAACAATGCGGTGGCCTCTACATCATCGTTTGCGGCATCGTCTTTGGATATTTTCTTCCTCGTGGCTTCGCTGGCGATACCATCCTCTACAATATCGTCACGCTGTTTGTTGTGTAGCCATAGGTCCTTGTAGACTTCCAGTAAGCTTTCCCCGCTGTTGTCGTAGACATTTTCTCCTGCGAGTCGGATTTCCAGTCTCTTCTGGAGTAGTTTTCCTGGGTTGTTCCTAAACCAGGATTTTGTGTTGCTGTTTTTAAAGTCGAAGACTAAAGCCATACTATCCGGTACGAGAACGGAGTCGGCTTTTAGCTTTGGGATGTTAACGTAGATTTCTTCTCCGGGTTTGGCAGAATTAGGATTGAAGGTTAGAACATGTCTGGTCCTATCCCCGGTAATTTCCGTCCTGTTCATGCGTCGGAAGTTTGGCATAAGTTCAGTTGTTCGGTCCATTATGTTTTATTATAGGATAACTTTATTTCCTCCGTTTCATTTGTAGGTACTTGTATATAGCTCCGGCAATTAGGACTGCTACAATCCATAGGTTCTGGAAGGCAAGACCTTTAGCTCCCCAGCTTAGGATAGTACTCAGTAAATTTATAATAGGTACTAGAATTGGTAGTGCGGATTTTGCAAGTCCGGCCAGTGCTTTTCCTACGGCTCCTAATCCTTTGGGGGCTCCTACGATGGTTTCCTTACCGGCCACCACGACTGTAGTGATAATTCCGGCGATAGAGATCGTAATGGCAGCTAGTGCGCCTAGGTTTTCCTTTGCCCATTTGCGGAATCTTTCGAATTTGTCCTGATATTTTCTCTTACTATTTCCCTATACCTATGTTTTCCCTCCTCCGTTTCAGGTTGCTGACCCATCTCTAGGTTGGCGTTATCTATACCCTGTTCGGCAACATCCCTACCCTCTTGCATAATCTGTCGTCTTTCGGGATCTGTTTCTAGTTCTATATTGGTTTCGAATACTTTCTTCTGTTCCCTTAAGGCTTTAATCCTGACTTCAGGGGGTTCTTTGGGAGCGGTTACTCCCGCAAATTCCATCCTCTCCTGTGTGGTTATTTTTCCCCTTTCCCCTAACTCCCTTGCGTGTTCCACAAGGTTGTCGCCTGCGTTGATGACTTCCTGACGGAATTCCTCCTCAGCGTCTTCGAAAATCTCTTCCGCGTTAACTCCTGATGCCTCTCCTCCGGTTTCCTCTTCAACTACACTTTTGGATCTTTCCCTGTGTTCAGCGAGTGATTTTTCGTACAGATTAAGGAATCTTCTTGATGATGCGGTAGCCTTCTTATTCTCAGACATTTTGTAGGTACCACCCGTATCAATGTATGCGACATCAGCCCCGTTAAATGTCAACTTGTTTTTAGTGATGTCTAAACTGGATATAAATTCCTTAGAGTTTCGTCCGTCGGTCGGATCTATTCGATACTCAGTTTGGAAAAGCCTCCTGACGTATTCTATCTTTATGTCATCAAATTTTCCATATGTGCTCAGTTCGTCTAACTGTCTCTTCCTTTTCCTGTAGGAATCGTTCTTATTCTCCTCACGGAAACTGGAGGTTTTTACATCGTCTAGTCTTTGATCGTCGTCTAGTCCTGAAAGGAAATCGTCCTCATCAATAGGTGTATCATCAATAACTGTTTCGTCCTCACCCCCTTCGGCTCCTTTCGGTCGGTTAAGGTTGTTCAACTCTATGTTATCCTCCATTTTTATTTAAGTCTAAAGATAATTCCTGTTCATAATACCTTCCCAAAATATCCTCACCATCCTCCGGATCCTTAAGGCTGTACATATTGGGATCTCCCCGGAACACCGCTGTAACGACGTATACTTCGTTGTCAAAGTTGGGTTCGTATCCCTTTTCAAAGGTCTTGTGCTTTATTTCCACCCTGACATGATCCCCAACTTTGAATTTAGGATTCGGAAAACTGCTTAGTGGATATCCGTAGATTCTTGTCCAAACTTCGTCTTTATTTTCCTCATTCACATCCGCCGGTTTCATTCCTATTGTTCTGTGTGTGGAATTATTATAGGATCTAACGAGATCAGGTAAGATGACTACCCAAACTTTTGTCCTGTTTTCCGTAAAGTATTTCCACATCCTTGTTTTCAGAGTTCTATTGAATCTTTCAACGATTGCGGCTTTCCGGAAGGTCCATGTGGAAAAGTAGTGAACATCGTGATCCTTTAGCAACGTCTTTACTCCTACATTGTAAAATTCCTTTCCGTCATCGAACTGTGCCGTTTTAGGATACCTACCAAACTTTTCCTTAAATTGTACGAGCACACATTCGACAGCCTTCGTCATGCTTTCGGTATTTTTCCTCCATACCGGAACGGCAAAGGCATACCGGCTTAGAACCTCTATGACAGTTAGGATCCAGCGGTTTCCCTTATTCCCGTGGCTAAATTTACTCATATCCACAAGGTCCATTTGAATTTTCTGTGCAAGTCCGTCCACATAGGTTCTTTGGGTTTTGTAATGTTTTCGGGACGGTTTATGGATGATGTAGGTATTTTGTGTCTGTAACCATTCCTTAACGTTTTTCCGGCTTACTCCCTTTATACCCCTCCTCCTTTACACTCTGGTATAATTTTTCCATCGACATGTACCCACCGTTAACGTTAAAATATATTTCCCGGAGAGCTACATCTAATGGTAAGTCCATTTTATTATTCATAAATAAAACATGAAGAAGATAACAGTCTATGTTGGGGACGGAGGGGTTAACCTGAACCTACAGGATCCATTGATCCTTACCCACGGATCCGAACTTTACGTAAAGACTGCTGCCGTGTTTTGGAATTACAAGAATATTCGTAAGGGGTTCAATGACTACATTTCCGTGGATGGGAAGAAGATAACGATAGACGAAGGGTACTGGACCTTTAAACAGCTTAGGAAAGAGTTGGAGGAAAACGGATTAACACTTAAGGAATATCCAGATGGAAGGATAAGGATCGACTTTGCTAAGGGTACAAGTTCAGCAGGACTTCGAAATCTTACGGGTATTTTGGGTTACCGGTCCTCCAATGGTTCTGCATACACCCCACACATCAGCGATCGTCCAGTAGACATCCACGAAGGTTTGCGATACCTCACAGTCAGTTGTAACCTTGTGAATCGTGAGCATAACATCGGACCGTATGGAAATAGGAGTACCGTAATCACTTCCCTTCCCATCGATGGAACCAGACCTCTCTTTGGAACCACAACCAAATACAACGACATCGAAAGCCAGGTACGGGTGGATGCTGGTAAATACAGTGAAATCCGGTTCGAGATTGCATGGATCTAATACTGGAATCATTCCCGGAGATGTCCTGCTGGAACTTTACATTAAATAAAAGGATGAGTGAGGAAATATTCCGAAAATACTACGGAGAGAACTACGAGAAAGTTAAGGCGGCAGTACTCGTCGAAATCCAGAAAATGAAGACGAGCTTCATGAAACAATACTCCAATGCGACCCTATCCAAGTTTGACTTTGAGGTTACCTTTGCCAAAGACGGAACCGTAGAGTCTAGAGACATCTTCTATAAAGTGGATGACCTCACAAGCTACGATATTACGTCCGACACATTCCGTACAAATCCGGAGTGGACCAAATACCTTCACTGGGTAGAGGGGTGGAGAAGTGTTCTTCTGGATGCGTCCAAATAAGGATTTCAAGATGAATGTATATACCTTTAAGGTTTATGTTACGGAGACTGAGAATTTCCTAACAAAACTGGAGCCTATCAAACCAGTATACAATAACCCCCCCGGAACCTTTATCAACACTATACGTACCTTTCGATTACCATTCAAACTCTTACTTTTGCTCCATGACAGCATGCTACGTTGCTATGTTTAAGTCCGGAATTTCCGAAGTTCACCTGACGGACAGTTTTTCCAACTCACACTCCAACATAGTAACCTCCATTGTTCGCTTCCACCTCCATTTTCACCTATCGAGATTCATGCGTAACCCCAGTCTATTAGACAAGTACCTTACGAGTGATGATAAGAGAACCATCAGGAAGTATGTACCCGTACGCGAAACATGGGTTAGGAGGACCGTCTCTCCCCACGCAAACCTCGGAACGTGGTATTACGGATTACCCGTAAGAGAACAGAGAAGGATACGACGTCAGAAATATCATCAGACCAAATACGGAGGTACATTTATCGAATACGAATACCTGACTGGTAGATCACCCTATGATGTTGAAAGCGACTATAAAACCCTTATTCCCAAAACATCCCGAGGACTTACCAAAGTTGGACAGAAATTATTCCAGCAGTCTATCGAGGCGTTTGTATATTCCGTATTGGGAGCACAGGCCAAAACCCGGTGGAGTATCACGGGTCAGGGTGCAAAGAGTCTACAGACACAGGAGGTTTTCCGTAAGGTGGTAGAAGATACAATTGTGCAAGACGATGTGACAGTTACCATTTCCAACATGAGAACGGCTATTGCTAATACACATGTCGTCCTAAATTTTGCAGTGGCGCCAGGTCTGATCCTAATCCCCTCTGACCTAAGAATTTTAGCAAAACCTATTCCGGGATTTATCAATGTCCTAACGGTAGCTAAAAACGGGATGATGTTTGGGAAGAATGAGAAGGTGAATTATACAAGTAATCCCGTTCCTACTCCCACGAACGATGTAGACGAAAGCCACGACATTGCACCGGTTCCTGCTGTGGAGGACTTCAAACCCTCAGAATTAAGGCAGAAGTCTGATACTCAAAATATTGATCTTGGGACAGCAGCAGTAGCATCCTTTGGACTTGCATACCTAGTATTTCGACGTTAAATAAAATGAGCATCTTATTCGGATACGATTACTTTGATACAACAGCAGAAGACCTAGATATCCTAAAGCAGAAGTTAACAACAGTCGAGAAGGCACAGCAAGGTAACACGGCAGAGGTTGTCAGACATACGAACGAGATTGTAAAACTAAACAGTTTGGGTAAAAACACGGTTCAGTACGACTTTTCCCAAATACCTGGGTATCCACCCGGATTTTTACAAACATCCACCATTACAGACACTGATAAGAAGAATGCAAAGTTTATTAGGTTTAGTGTCAGTGGTTATGAAATAAATTATTCGAGCTTATCCCCTTTCTATGGATTCTACGAAACGAGTAGGGGTACGGTTGTTATATTTACAGTCGACCAGAGGAGTAAAATTATCCGGACATCATTTTCATTCATAGTTACCAGCACAAACATTCAGATCAATGGTGTTGAATTTAAGAACATAGATTCTGCCGGAAACGCAACCAACAGAACAAAAGCCACAACCATAAATTGCTTCCTTCTGACAACATAGGGTTTTAAATCCAAATGGTAGGATTTAAAATATTCGTGTTAGTCCGTAAGCACCGCCGACACCCAGTATACCCACTGTCAACACTGCGTATTTTTTCATTTCGTCCGACGGTTGATAGTAATCCTCCAATTTCGGTCTGCGCTGGGATGTTGTACTGTCCATAAGTCTCGTATAATCCCTCAGGTCTTCCAATGCCCTGTTTGTTTCCTCGATATCCTTATTAGCGTCGAGGATCTCGGCCCTCCGTCTTGCCTCATCATTCCTACGCTTCACTTCGGATTCGTAAAACTTCTCCTTGGCTTTTGCAAGCTTCTCTAAGGCCTGGTTATGTCTTTTTGTCTCTTCCTTGTAGCCTTGTCCATTCAACTTGGAGAATAGAAAACCGGCCCCGGCAAAAGCCACAGCATTAAAAGTCCTCCGACCACAACAGATGTCATTCTTTATTTGTCAATCATTTTCGGGATGTATCCCTTATCCTTAAGATATCCTATGGTGAATGCACTTCCGGCTACGGCAACGGCAAGCTTTGCCGCTCCTTCTAGGGTCATCGGTGCACCCAGGCTTTTTCCGGCAACCGTTTTGGCAAGGTAGGATACCCCAACGACTCCGGTTGTCAATAGTGCTGCATTGTACAGTTCGTTGATCACTTCCTTCTTCGTGTCGGTCATTATGTCTTTTATTGTAGTAGAACTATTTATCCTTTAGCTTCTCTTCTACGATTAGGTAAAATTTTCTATCCAGGGTCTCGAGCATCCTGTCTTCGCTTTCCTTGCGTCTGGCTTCTTTCGTTCTGCATTTGTCTTCTTCCACCTCAAACGTGTGGATGTAAATCAGTACGACTCCAGCTGCTACGGAAAAGGTTAGTATGTCCAGGAATAGTTGTGACATTGTTTTATTATACTCAGTCAAACAAGTCAGGACCTTCTGGTGTGATAACAACGGGTTCCGGCTCCTCTACAATCCTATTTTCCTCGGGCTTCTCGTCCTTTTCCTGACTACTGTGCCACATGAAGTAAAGGGATCCGAGGCCTACGGCAATACCTACTACTAAGCCGACTCTTTCTAGGGTGGCTATTGACCCATCATTTTCGGATTCTTCAATCAGAACGTTCTGCTCCTCTTCCTTGATAGTTTCAAGCCGTGCTTTCTTCCTTGCTTTCGCTTCCTTACTGATCTTAGCAAGCCTACGCCACGCCTCCACCCTCCTGGGATCCTTGACGTGGGTCTTTACCGGATTTGTGACGGGTACTGCTGTCGTATCTGGGTTTACTTCTGACATGGTTCCTTTTACTTATAGTAGAATATAACTAACTTGTGAGTAACTTTAAGTCTAGTCAAAAGTTGGTCAAGAGTAATCTTAAATCTAGTCAAAAGTATCTCAAGAGTAGATCTGAGTTAACTTGTGAGTAATCTTAAATCTAGTCAGAAGTACCTTAAATTCAGAATAAACAGCTTATAGACAAGGCTTCCTACATATAAACAAGTAACCATGTCCATCATTACAAAGGGGGAAGCTGTTAGGATGTACTTTGATCGTCCTGACATAATGGACTCCGTCAAGGAGATGCTAAGTCATGCCAATTACAAGGACATAATATTTAGGTGCGGACAATATATCTCGCAAACAGAATCAACTTTTTCAAAATAAATCCTATATAATAAAAGGTACATTCCTCATACGTCCGACCGTCCGGAAAACTTGGATGTATTCATTGCTTTTTCAAACCCCTTGGGTCTGGAAAACAGAATCAACTCCGGAACCACCTTATAGATAAACTTTCCTATATAATAAAAGCAATGAATACTTTTAATCCAAGTATTCCAATTCCGAACAAACAGTTAGCATTTATCGAACAAATGAGGACCGACGACCTAAGGGATGCAAGAGAATACTATCAAAAAATAGGAGAAAGGAATATTATCGGAAAAATAGAATCAATAATTAACAATTACTTCGACGAACAGGTCAGAAAGGAGAAAAGGAAAATATTCACCAAGGAGATTAAGTCGACAGCAGTGCAGTTACGGAAACGCAGGAAGCAAACCGAGGCCGACGCGAAAAGGGAAATAAGGGATGCAAAGAAATGGAAGAGCGACATCGCCAAAGAAGAGAAAAGACGGAGTAAGGAGGTTACGGACTGGAAAGCCGAGGCTCAAAAGTGGAAGAAGGAGACCCAGCGGTTGCGGCGGAATGTTAGGGCCCGGGAAAGACGGGCCGAGGAAAACCGTAGGATCGCAGAGGGTAAGTGGAGGGGTAAGAAGAAATTCGCCAAACTCCAACTTAAGGTGGGTGACAAGCTTAGTAAAATCTGGGAAAAGCCGAGGGAAATCCTGGAACCCGTCCTAGCCAAACACGCCATCAAGGGAAAAGTAAAAAAGTACGTCATCACCCCAAACGGTAACTACGACCCATCCTACTTCCTAACCATCACGGAAGATGAGGTTAAAACACTCATAAACTCCGAAACGGAACCCAGGAACGTAAGGATGTCCTTAGCCTGTGAAATGGTAAGGAGCGACCCGAAAACCGGGGAAGAAGTGTCAACCGTCGCTCACTTCGGATCGAAGAACCACAAACTTATCGGTACGGACGATACGGAAGAAACCGAGGGTATCATGAGGGAAAAGATGCTAAAGTCTTTTTCGGAATATCAGAGTAGGGGCAGCGGATGGAGACTACAAAGAGTTACCCAGTTGGAAATCCACATCGGAGAGTTCCGACCACTCAGGGGTAAGAAACACGAACCACTACCCAAATCCATAACCAGCAGGAAAGCAATTATCAACATGAAGAACGACGACGACGAGTGCTTCAAGTGGGCCGTCACACGTGCCTTAAACCCTGTCGACAAAAATTCGGAAAGAATTTCAAAGGAACTTAGAAGACAGTCCGAAGTGTTAGACTGGGAAGGGATCGAATTCCCAACACCAATAGATGGTATTAAAAGATTCGAGAAAAACAACAACATCGGCATCAACGTGTTCAGCGCCGACGAAAAACTCAAGGTCTATCCCCTACGAGTATCAGGAGAAGCCAATCCCGTAAGACTCTTCCTATGGGAGAACCACTACAGCGTCGTCAAGGACATGTCCAAACTCGTAGGCTCACAAATCAGTAAGAACGAACACAGAAAATACATATGTGATCGATGCCTTAACGCATTCGGATCGGACGAACTCTTGGAAAAACACCTGAAACTATGCTCGAACAACGACTACCAAAGGCACGAATACCCTAAACCCGGCAGCACCACAAAATTCGAAAACTACGAAAGGATACAGGAATTCCCAATCGTCATCTATGCAGACTTTGAATGCTACATCAAGGAACTGGATGCAAAGGAGCAAAGGTCCGATGAGTCAAGTACCATACAATACCAAAAGCACAACCCAAGCGGATTTTGCTACTACATTAAGTGCTTCGACAACTCCATCTACAAACCCAAGCTGGTACAATATACCCAGCAATACGAAGGAGAAGACATAACCAAACAGTTTGTGGACCTTCTCGAGGGGGAAACCCGAGATATCTATAACAAGTTCAAGTTCAAAGAGCCCGTCAGAATGACCTCTGGGGATACCAAAGATTACGAAGAAGCAACCAGCTGCTACGCATGTAAGGAAGAATTCACCCTAAAAGACTACAAAGTCAACGACCACTGTCACTATACAGGTAAATACAGGGGTGCAGCATACAACTCGTGCAACCTCAGAATGAGGCAACCGAAATTCATTCCCGTCCTATTCCATAACCTTGAAGGGTATGATGCCCATCTGTTTATCAAAAACCTAGGGGTAAGCAGCGGAGACATCAAGTGCATCCCCAAGACGGAAGAAGAGTACATATCCTTTACCAAAGAGGTAGTGGTCGATACATTCAAAAACAAGGACGATAAGGAAAAGAAGGTCAAAAGGGAATTAAGATTTCTGGACTCCTTCAAATTTATGGCAAGCTCCCTGGACAAACTTGCCAAGGGTCTAGGCAAGGACGACTTCGAAAATCTGGACCTAATGACGTCACACTACACCACGGAACAACAGGAAATCCTAAAGAAGAAAGGCGTATACCCCTACGAATATATAAACGGATTTAACAGACTGGAAGAAACATCCCTACCACCCAAGAGCAAATTCTTCAGCAGTCTAACCAACGAAGACATCAGCGACACCGACTATAGGAGAGCACAGAACGCGTGGAACACCTTCGGTATGAAAACCATAAGGGATTACCACGACCTCTACCTTAAAACGGACGTCCTCCTACTACCGACATAATGGTACTACACGGCACCGGGACTGGCGTGGGATGCGTGTCTAAGACTAACCAAGGTGGAACTGGAGCTTATTTCCGATCCGGACATGTACCTACTCATAGAAAGGGGAATCCGCGGAGGAATCAGAATTTTTCAGAATATGTATGCGCCCGTGGGTGGCTGCAAAATATTTTAGCTCCTCAGTTTTTAAAGATTCCGTCGTTTATTTACTATTTGTCGGTTGGATTTAACTGATACTTAACTGATACGAGAAGAATTTGTCTTAATGCCTCACAACATGCTGGTTTATTCGAGAAATATACTTATTTCGATCTCAAATCTTGGCAAGTTGACGTATAATCGTTTAACGGGACATGGATCAGTGAATCGGCAGCTATCAAGCGAAGTCTTGAAAAAAACTTAAGTTCTACGGTATATTGAACCTTGTAAGAGGTCAACGAGGAGGTAATCATCTAAGACACTCTAATGGTATGTTTATTCGCAGTATAGAACCGGTTGCACGACGTAAAGGACATGTTTTATCAAAGCAATACGGTGTAAACCGAACGAACTTATTACATATTCAAGTTTCGGCTACAAGAACAATTAACGGCACTGAAGCTGAACAAAACCATAATAGCTATTATTCCAAAATGGAAAAAAAAATGTTTCCCCGGTTTAGTTTGATGAATGTTCGCTCATTATTACCGAAGATCGATGAACTCTCCGCGCGCATATCTTTCCAACCTACAAATGTTATAGCTATTACAGAGTCTTGGTTAAGTGAGGACATTGATGATAATTTACTCTCTATCGAAGGTTTTAACATCTACCGAAAGGACAGAGCCTTTGGTCGAGGTGGCGGTGTTTGCGTTTATATATCATCCGATATCCCCAGTAAAAGAAGGCTAGATCTTGAAAATGCAGCGTTTGAATGCTTGTGGATCTGGCTTCGCCCACCTCGCCTTCCTCGCCCTTTGTCAGGCATAATTTTGGGAGTTGTTTACAGTCCCCCGGGTATTTCCGCGCAGGAAGGGTCAGACTTAATAGAACATATCATTGACAGTTTAGACCAGATTTGTTCAGCATTTCCGGACTGTGGCATTGTAATCACTGGAGACTTCAACATGGTAAACATTGCTGACCTCCTTTCCAGTCACAACCTAAAACAAGTAGTTCGGGAACCAACGCGTGGCAATAACATCTTGGACTTAATAATAACCAATATGTCCCACTTCTACAGCACTCCTACGGTAACTGCACCTTTGGGCAGATCTGATCATCATGTTATCAATTGGAGTAGAAATACCGACAGTGCTGCTTGTTTGATAAAGAAAGGAATAACAAAACGTAAGGTGCGTCGCTTTACCCAGTCATCGTGTGCGGCGTTTGGAAGATGGTGCAGTGACCACGTATGGTTTTCTGATGTTCAGCATCCCGATTCTGCCACCGCTTTGGCTTCTTCTTTTACATCTGAACTTAGCTCCGCCATTGACCTCTTTTTCCCTACCAAAACCATTAAGATTCATGCAACTGACAAACCATGGATGACGCCAATGTTGAAACAGTTGATTATCCAAAGACAGCGTGCATTCCACAGCGGCGACCGTGCAGTTTGGTTACATCATAGGGATAAGGTACAAAGAGAAATTTCATCACAAAAGCATACGTATTACGCCAGGAAGATTCAAAATCTAAAAAATAGCAACCCAAGGCAATGGTGGAACTACATTAAACAGATCACCGGTAAGGAAAAGTCAACGCCTAATTTTGACATTACCAGCGATGGGGTACCAATGTCCGATCTTGAGTTGTGTGGTAAACTAAATGAGCACTTTTTATCAGCCAGCGCTGACCTTCCTCCTCTCGACCTTGGTACTTTGCCTGCGTACCTTCCAGCTCCCGAACCCGCACCATCTATCTCAATCGCACAGGTCTGTTTTAAACTGCTCAAAATAAAGGCATTTAAATCCAACGGCCCTGATTGTATTCCTAATCGAGTGCTTAGTCAATATGCTCAAGAGTTAGCTGATCCGGTGGCCAAAATCTTCAACAAGTCTTTATTGCACTCTGAATTCCCTATACCTTGGAAAGATGCTAACATCATCCCAATCCCGAAAGCCCAACCGATAACGTGTGAGGATGAAACCCGTCCAATTGCCCTCACTGCCACTCTGTCAAAAGTTTTGGAAGACTTCGTTGTTACCTGGATGATTGATGATGTCAAAGACAAAATCGATCCGAAGCAATTTGGTAGCTTAAGGGGATCTTCTACAACATTCTCCCTTATTGATATGATTAACAACTGGTTGCAGGCACTGGATAGCCCAAAACGGTATCTACGTATTTGTTTTTTGGATTTCTCCAAAGCTTTTGACAGAATCAACCATAACATTTTGATTGCGAAACTCATAGTCCTTGGAGTAAGAAGATGTTTGATCCCATGGATATGTGATTTTCTTTCAAATCGTCGTCAGGCAGTGAAAATTAATGAGTTTCGCTCGGAGTGGGCTTATGTAAATGGCGGTGTCCCTCAAGGAAAAAAACTTGGCCCTATCTTGTTCTTAGTTATGATTAATGATCTGAAAATGAAGTCCCTAAACTCCTTTCATTGGAAATACGTTGACGATGTAACGATTTCTGAGGTTATAAAAGAAACTGAGGAATCGCGATTACAAACTGAACTCAATGAACTCCAACAATGGGCATGTGAGAATGATATGAAACTGAATGGGTTGAAATGCAAGAAAATGGTTGTCAGCTTTTTACGACAAAGTGATAACTATACTCCATTACACATTAATGATCAACAATTGGAACTGGTTACATCTTTCAAGATTTTGGGTTTGACTATTAATAATCACCTTAAATGGAATGATAACGTTGCAATTATCGTAAAAAAGCGTCGAAACGCCTTTACATCCTTCGGGTGTTGCGTCGATCTGGAATTCCACCCGCTGACTTGCTCTCAATCTATAACGCCTTAATCAGATCTGTTTTGGAATATGCTTTTGCAGTCTGGCATACCAGCCTACCTCAGTATCTTTCCAACAAAATTGAACGGGTGCAGAAACGTGCTCTGCGAATTCTGTACCCTTTCACTGATTATGCGGAAGCCCTATCTATCAGTCGTTGTTCTCGCCTTGATGATAGAAGGCAGTCAATATGTCAGAATACCTTACAAAAGATTGCTAATCCTTGCTCGAAACTGTACCACTTGTTGCCGTCAACTCGTGGAAACGTCCATGGACGGAGTTTGAGAAATAATAATCAATTATCGCTTCCCAAATGTAGAACTGAGAGGTTTAAGAACAGTTTTATCCCGGCAATGTGCTATAGTCAAGTTGACGTATAGGCCTTTATGGTCTTAATTTGTATATTAGGTTTTAACATTTATATTAGATATAGT